CTATCCAGTCGATGCAGAAAAAGTTGGTCTGTTTGACTGTCAGCGGTCGGTTAATAAAATACTGAGGTAACTCACGATCAGTCAGTCATTTTTGCACAACATATACGTACCCATCCCAGCTATGTGCTTGGCTTGACACACGCTGATCAATGATAAGCCGCTTTCCAGCTGGTGATTCACTGCTGCTCATCCACAGTTGACAGGAATTATCACATGAAGTTTGAAAGGTGAAATGGCCTGTCTCTGGGGCTCTGAAGAAAGATCTCAACCTCTGACCGTAACTATTATCCTGGTAAGATTTGTAAAGACAGAATGTGTCGAGGAATTCTGTCTTGGAAGCAGCACACGGGTAGAAATTGCTTCCTTTTAAATCAGCCACGGATGAACCTGGGACATTTCTCCAGAGTTCGCGATAAACTTCAAGAGCAAAAGATACAGTGTGAGTTAATACATTTTGGTTTTAGGAAATGGTGATGGGTATTGGCGAAAAATCGGTAGCTAGGGATACTCTGACCTTATTTTAAGGTCGCTTCCTTGGTGGGCGCCTAGAGGACTGCAATACCCTGTAATAATGATCATTGTTTAGTCAATCGAGCAAGAGAGTGTGTTCTTGATCAAGTCCTCATAGTTCTCATTTGTTCCTAGAGGTGCTAAACTTAACTTGATTTGATATGTATATATAATATGAAGTGTTTTGAATTTTTATTGTAATATTACCGTAATTCTTATCGCCAAAGGTAATAAAAAAAGTTTATTATTATTATTAAATATCTGTTAACGCAATACCTTTTTTGACTGGACAATCCATTTCCCACGAATGAACAAAATGCCTGTTTTGTGGATCGAACATAAGTCCGGTGGACAGCCCTGTGCGATGTCGTGTTTTACCGTGGGAACAGTCATAATAAGCCCTGCAGTCTTCGGGGTCTGCATGCAAACCAGATGATTTACCAATACAAAAATCTGGAAGAATAGAAATATATTGTTTATTTCCAACACCATCTATGAAATACGAAATAATAATTCAAACTCTGGTGTAGTTCAGAACAGCGAAACGGGCTAAAAAGATAGCTGATGGAGAAAAGAAAATTTGTCTCCAATGGACGGCGATTTTGTAACGCTGAATATTTATTTATTTTTACCAAAACCATCATACACACATACTTGAAATTAAGCATACGTTAAAATATTTCCGATTTTGGTGTTTTTTTATTATTATCTTCTATTTATTTCCGATTTTGGTGTTTTTTTATTATTATTTTCTATTTATCCATGTATTTGTATTCAACTTTCCAGCGTGAGAAGGGGTCACTAAAAGGAACTTCAAGCTCAATTTTCGCCGAACGGTATAAACGAATTGAGACAAAAAAGAAAAGAAAGTAAAAAAAAAAGTGAATATTCATCATAATCAGAGGCATCTTTTGATTACTGAACAAAAGTGTGGACCGCATAACATTCATCAAAGCAAAATATTTTACCATACCGATGCATTATTAGATTGTTAATTCTTAGCCTGTTCCATGCTATAAGTTAGAAATCACTTCCCTCGTGAAACTCAGGAAAGTCGTAAAAAATATTGCCTGCACTGATGTAAAATAGCTTCGAAAAAGTGAAATTACACTGTTCTGCCAGATTAATAGTCATTTGAGTGTGCGACATAATTACTGTTTACCAAACAGCTTTTCATAATTCCTAACTTTGTTCAAACAAGAAAGGGAATATTTCATTAGAACGATTTTGTTTCTCCTCTTTAACGCGTTTGCCTTTTAGCAAAGGCAAAAAGCGATTTAGTTGTAACTTTCTTTCTAAGACTGCAGAAAACGTCTTCACAATGAACAGATTTCACCTCCTTTTTGCTTTTAGCACCTTGCAATCAATTTCTTTTTTGAGCTGAATATTCTCTTCTTTCTCATTTGTAATTACTCTCAGAGGCATTTGCGCAAACATCAACTGCGTAGTTTGCATTGCAAAACAAGGCATTGCCAAAACTACAGTTTAAACTCTCGTTTTTCTCAACATGCATTTCAGCTCCGAAAGCATAGCTTAGAATGGCTAAAATTTGAGTGTCCATGTGGAACAATTAAATAGGTAAAATTATCGTTCATTTTGGGAGGCAAAAAGTGCCGCAAATTTATGAATTAGTGAACAAAGATGGGCAGCTGTATGTATCTGACAAGATTTTTGAAATCCAATGAGCAATTGAAAAGCTCAAGGTTACCACTCCTTCAAGCGGGTAAATGTCCTTCAGGAAGAGAACAAGCTTGAAAACAAACGAAACAAAAAATATTATTTTTTGTAACCATTAACATTGTCTTTTGAAGCTGAAACGACAAAATAGGAGTTTGATTGTTACTTCAATTTCAAAGCGCCTAAGTGTATGAAAGGATCTTATTTCATGACCCAAAATCTAATTTTGTTTCGCAACCCATTTCGCCCCTTTTGAACCTTTGTTTGGCTGCTATCTTTCTGTTACCTATATTCTTCGAAAGTCCATATTGCTACACATACCTTACTATGCGCCATAATCTATGACTCTTTTCATATTCGTGCAATGCTTTACATTTTTGACCTGCGAAAACATGCTATCATAGATCGTTACACTTTGTGGGATCAGATAGACTAAAGATACACATTTGACTGGGTAACGTAACTTTCTGCTATGTCACGATATATCACGGCACAGGAAGAATTTCGTTTTGTTATGACCGACTGAAATGAATATTTTCGTTCCTACAAAAGGAACGGATAATTAGACTCGTGCTAGCTGCCAGTATTACTCTTGCATCTAAGTTTGGTTAGGTTTGTTTGATTTTCAGCTGACAGCATTTACGTCAAACATGCATGTACAGTGAATTAAAGGCTTAACTTTGAAATTATGTCTTGAGAGGTTAAATTTTAATACAGATCTTTGTCTTTACTCCTCTCTTACCTCGCCAGCAATGCTTTAATAAACAGTGACTTAATCTGGCTTTGGTAGCAAAAATGAATTATCGAGGAACTGCAGTTGGAACAAAAGCATTGAAGCTGACACGAAAAGGTCCTATATCTTTGTGGAGAGTATACTTGCCTTTGTCGTAGTAGTCAACAACAGTAGACGAATGCACGTACTGTTAAAAACAAAAAGGAATGACAAAGCGGATCAAATTAGATACAAATACAAAACATAACTCGCTTTTGCGTCTCTAACGTGACATGACAACAGTATGTAGAGTGGTTAAACGCAAATTTCATGTCCTCCAGTTTTCAGCGAACGTCTTATTCTTGAACTTGCCTGGATAAAAAAAGCACAAATGGCGAGTAGTCTCATATCAACCTTGTTACATCCTCTGATCGCATGAAGAATCACGACTCTTAGCTTTACTTCTTGAGTTGACGATGAGCCAGAGATGTATTTGGAGAACGTGTTTAGTTTTCAGTGGACAGCGATTTTGACCTGCCTGTTATCAGTAGTAAATGTTTACTCAAAGGTCTCAAGGTTATTCCAAGTGATTGGCCCGTTGTTCTCTCTTTTGTTATTGAAATTTAGGGTCGTACATACGACAAATTATATTTGTTTTGCGCGACGTTAAAAGAGTTAAAATCAAATATTTTTCTCCAGATAATGAAGAAATCGGAATTACATCTCCATCCACATAATACCTTTCATTACATAGGTTTTGTTTCTCAATGGTTAAAAGGTGAGGTAAATCATTAACTTTGCATTTTAAGCTGAAGGTGAAATGAATAACATATTACTCATTAACTCAAAAACGAAGGTGTTGACGCCGAAATGAATTAAGACCAAAAATTGTTTTTATCAGGCTAAAGCCTATTAATCGATCAGGAAATCAGTTGTAAATTACTCTTTTAAGAGGACTTGAGGCCATTCGGGTAGTTTGAAAAACTGTTGATCATACTGAGTGATGAGGCACCTTAATTGGTCCTTTGCTCTTTCCTTCATCATTCCCAGTTCCCGAACGGCCAGGTCTTTCAACCAAATTCGACTACAGTATAAATGCAAGTTTTGGTCTATCATGATTTCCGTTCTTAAAGGTACATTCGCATCTTTTTGAATGAGATGAATTACACCTCGAGTCAAGATTTTTTTACCCGACCGCTCTGTCTCCCTCTACGCGTGTGCGAGGAGAAAGGAAATCGAAACACGGGAGGGCAGCATACGCCTGACTCACGGATGATCATAGTCCCAAATTGAACATGCAGCCTTTTCTTCTTTTACTTTCACACACTGAGCTCCTTATATTTAATATCTTATGCAAAACTAACGAGGAAGTTCGATGTTTCTTTAAAATGCCCAGCGATTTCAAAAATTACGATGGTTCTCTAGTAGACTGCGTATTCAAATCTTCTCACGATAATTGGGTCTTCAAATGTAGATATGTTCTTTGCAATAAAAATTAGATGCACACCGGACTACGGGAATGGGAACAAAGGAACAGGCGGTCAACGAAAACGTGATAAGAGAAAAAGAAATGGGAAATGGTGAGAGGGAAACGATAAAGTTAAGGTCTCCAGTAAGAGTATCCCTCGAGCTGTTTCACATCTTTCTCTACTGTATTTTTGCTTTCTCTCGAAATTTTTTTTTGCGCTGTATCTTCTATATTGGTGTCAGAAATTGTTTTAAAAAGCGAATAAGATGTCTCTCGAAGAACCCGATGATGCACACGAAGGTATCGACACATTTGACGAATTCAGTGGACACTTCCGGACGGTTCCGTCCGACTACGGACATTTGCATCCGTTATCACACGGTTTTGTTCGATTTCGACCACTGACGTTCGTTTTCAGACGGTTCAGTCCGACCTTGGACGTTTACGTTTGTTTTCCTGCGTTTCCATCCAATTTCGAAAACTCTTACGTCCGTTTCCGGTCGGTTCCTTCCGATTTAAGACACGATGTGATAGTTATCTGACGGGGCCCACGTTTCGTATTGGGACGGTTCGGTCCAATTTTCGACTTGCGGGGGTCTACAAGGAGAGTAGACTGGGAACAAACGATGGGAATCCAACATGGCGGCATGTTTGGAAAAATAATATTTACAAAACCTGAGCAAACTGAAAACAGTCCTTAAGCTTCCCATAACGTGTCATGAGTTGAAACGTACGTATTGCATCATTTTGGTGATATCTGTGTGGAGAGAATGGATTGCCAGACAAGGATTGGAAAAAATTCATGAGGACTCACATCTCGAATTTTTCACAAACACGTGTAAAAGAGCTAATTCAAGATAAGGTGAACCTCAGAACTTCTTTGTTTTTACATTTTATTTAAGTGTAATTTATCATCTCTTAGTTCATTCTACTGAACAGCGCGATTTTATTTGAATGTCGTTCAGTGCCTCAATAAGTTTTAAAGCTTAACCGTAGCCTTTCACTTTCAAGATCTCTTAGTAATTCTCTCTACTATCTTCCTTACAATTCTCATGATGTTAATTTAGAGAATTTGGATCAACTGACAATCACCTAATTGATATTTTGCTAAATTCTTGTCTCTTATTAGCTTGATATTGTATTGATATTGTGAGGAGAAATTCTCTATTGGTCATACTTGAGAGTGAAAGGGTTCAGCAGAATTAAATTCAAATATTTTGTAGCTAGCTTTACTCCAGCACATGTTAAAAAAGGGAAAATTTGCAGTATTTGAAGCTTCCATGTTCTTTATTATGATTGTGTAAAAGATGATGTCTACAAATTTTTATGTCATTGTTGTTTTGATGTTTTTCTTTTTTAGTTTAAAAATCCTCACAATCTTTCACTAGCTTATTCATGGAATCATACAGCACATGGTTTTCATAGACTCAATACAAGTATTACTAATTTATTCAAAATAACATGGATTTCAAAATATAGGATGAATTAAAAAGCTTGGATAAGTTTCCACTCCTAAAGCCAAACAAGCACTCTTCTTTTTTAAGTGCCCCTCACTTTGTTGAAGGTGATTCCCCAGAAAAAAAGGGGTTATTGAACAATTTTTTAAACTTTCCTATGTTTCCTATCAGTGTCTGTTTCAAAAACAACAATTTAAAAGATAGGTCACTGTGCATGTATAAAAGATATGATTAAGGCCAAACTTCATTTATACCGGACTGTTCTAGCACTAATCAGATGCATCATTTCATCAGTTCACAGTACATTATGAGGTAATTGGAAACAAGGGTGTTTAAAGTAACATTTTAAAACTTGATAGGTTGAAAGTCTTCAAGGATATGGAACAATTTGATATATAATTTGTGCAAAAATCATTCAGCTTTATGTGACTGCAACTCAGAATGTTCATTGAGTCTGAGCTTTGTACCTGCTTTAAGCCGTATCTTTTATTTCCTTTGATAAATTTTGTAATTTGTCCAATTTAAAGGGGATAATTTGTACACCAAAATTACACTATAAAAATATAGGTCATGGTGCTTGTTCACAAGTTAAAGACCATCATACCTCTTTAACTGGTCCATTTATTGGAAAACAATATGGTATTCTCAGAATGTGTGCTTGCTTATTTGCCTGATTACTTCATTTTTATGTGCAGTACAGGATGCGCAGTGCAATACTGAGGAATCACCCTAAGTAACCACCCTCCCTCCAATAAGTGCTCCTCCCTAATATTACTGAAATTTTAAAGTGCCTGGGCACGTATTTGAGGGAATACAATGAATGTTATTATCAATTACAAAATAGAAGAAAGAAAAGGAAGCAGAATGGGGGCAGACAGAAGAACTGCAACACATCTTGGAACATACTTAGAATTCTTACACTCTTGCTCTTAGAGACATTGAAATCATTGAATGTTTGATTGCATGCAAATTACAAAGTCATAGTTCAATTTATGTAAATTTTCACAAATTCACACATGCACATGTCACATATAGTTATTTTGTGACTGCTTGTAACACTCAACCACCTGAAAAATTTTGCATTTATGTGACCGTGTCAGTGCTCTGCATGCCTTAAAGAGTGAGATTTCATTTAGTTATACTGTAATACTTAATGCTTTTTCATCAATATCAGCAGCTGAGAATTTAATAAAGCATGATGTAAATATGTGATATACCCCACCAAAGGTTAGGAAAAGTGACAAGCTAATTATAGAGAAATGTAGAGCACTAGTGTACTGATATAAAGAAAAATAAATCCAATTTTGCCTGATTTCCAAAATAATCATACTATGCTTCGATGCAATAGTTTCTTACAACAGGGAAAACTGCATGCAAATGATGCCAAAAGGTTTTAAAGGATAAAAACAGGAACACTGGAAACCATAAGGATAAAAACCAATCAATGCATGACTGTACCAATCCATAAGCAAGTCAGAGACTTGAGCTTCCAGGTTGCCCCAAAATATTGCAAAACTACTGCAAAAGAACATCTGCAAGTCTCATTGTTAGTAAATATTATTACCTGAAGCACTTTCCTACATAAAATTACTTAGTACTTAAAGATAAATCCTTGATGTACCTTTGTACAGAAGGATTGGTAGATACTTGTTAGTACTGAGAGTGTGTTCAATACATTTGGTTTCATTCAGCTCAGAGATGATGAGGTCTTTTGGATGGTATTCTTCAAGTGTCTTCAAAAGAATTGAAAAATTGTGACTGTAAACATTATGCACTCACCAGACTACTTTTTTTGCCATCTTTTTCTTAGTTTGATTTGGAGCTATTAAAAAAGGGCATTTTGCTGTCTTGAAAAGAGACCTAGTGAACATGGATTTTTTTTATTGATGCATGTCATTGATAAATGGAATGTTTCAGGGCTCGAATTTCAAAGTTAAATTTGGCCATCTATCACCAGCTGACATGAGCTGGGTTATGTGTTTTGCACTTGAGATCATTTATTATATATGAATGTGTGATAGGTCATGATTAAGATTAAGAAAAAATATTTCTAACCTCATCAACAGTCAAAAATCTCTAAATCAATTATGTATTACTCAACCTGAGATTGATCACACACCATCTCAGGGAGCAATTAAGCATGCTACCATCTCAAGGAGTAATTTAATGTGCTCCTGTCTATATTTTATTTTTGGGACATTGATAGCTAGTGATTATTTTGCTTGATCACAAACTAAAACCCTTATCATGTAAAACCAGCAAATGACGTTTATTAGTTTGAGCTTTGTATCCTTTATTTTCTCTTTAGTAAATGACACTACTTGTTATGCGGAGACATATGTTTACTCAAATAATCACTCACAGCAAGTAGTTATATGAGAAATTGTGGACTGTTTTCTTTAAAGACCTGTATTTCCCATTGTACTTTGATACCAAGCCCCAACCCATGTGTTAGATCAGATCTGAGCTGTTAGAAGGTTGGATGGGGCAATATCCTAGATGATCATCACCTAGAAAATTAGGGCTCAGAGAAAAACATCTCTGTGTACCAGATAGTGATTCATCTGCTGGATAGCATTGTCCAACCTTCAAACAAATGGGCCAGTGTGATACAATTATTATGAAATCCTGGGCAATCAGTACCAGAAGTTGACCAGCCAACCTGACCTGCATGTAGCTAGGGTGAATGTGTTGTGTTCAAACATCTTATTTTGGAAAAGAAGTCATGTAATACTCTTAGTCTCTGAAGAGAGCTGTTATGGTAAAACTTTTGGATAAGCTTTCACTCCATGGGCTTCTTACAGAGAGAGAGAGAGAGAGAGAGAGAGAGAGGCAAATAAATAAGGAAAAATAAGCCACCGTGATACTGATAGAATGAAATTTGTTTTGATTAAAGAGTATTACATGAAGTAACTTAATAGTGTTTCTTTATTTCAGATCCACCACAAAAGCATGACAGCTGAACATCTTGAGCCAAGAAATGATGGTGAAAAGTATTGCGAGAGAGTACTGGTGATGACTGACAACAACAATGCAAATGAAAGGTGACTTATTTTTTAGTTTCATATTATTCTTTCAAATTTCAAACATATGGATATGGGTACAGTTGGCTCTAGGTTGTTATTCTAGATGCTAGTGGATAATTTACCAGGCATTTTTCACCCAGCTGTTGGCCCACAACCCTCTTTATTGGGAAGGTATTACATGTACTAGAGTTTATGTTTTATTTTTTGTTTGTTTGTTTTTATAATAGAATTGTTAAAGTGAGTGGGCTGCATTAAATTGTTCTAACAAGTGCTTTAGCAAAACTCATTTAATGTGTTGACTTTTTTGCTTTAAAAACCTTTAAATTTGTTCTCAAGTCTCATGGTTTTCCCAGGTGGAAGGATTCAGGGTTTTGCTATTTTAAGTCCAAGGTTTTTTGGGATTTTCTTTTATTCTTTGTCATAGTTAAATGTCTCTTTGGTAATTTGAGGCCTCAGATTATTTGGATTTTTGGTTTTCATGGGTCTTACATTTTTCAGATCTCAAGTTGTCGTTGGTCTCAGACTGTTGGGTCGTAGACTTCTTAGAATTCTAAGCATAGTATTTTTGGACACAAAGGGTAGGATTCTTGGGTCGTACTTGTTGGATCTTTGGTCTCAACATTTTTGGGTCCTAAAATTTTTTCAGTCTTGTCAGATCTAGATCTGAGGGTCTATAGGGTCTTTGGATCTCAAGTTTGTTGGGTCATAGACTCTCCAGATTGTACCTTTTTGGTTTGTGGGCATGTTTAAGGTTTACATTTTGAGGGCCATAGAGTTTTTAGCTCAGTTTTGGGTCAGTATACATCATACTGAGCTGTAGGATTTTACATATTGCATTTAATGCATTTTATGTTATTTGGTACCATTACAATTGTATTTGAAAAAGTCTCTAGAGTATGAATCACTTAAATATTTCTCTCCTCCCTTCCCCCAAGAGTATCATTTGAGTAATGATTGAGAGTCTCATAGATTCAGATAATATAATTTATTTGCACTCATTGAATATTAATTTCTACAACACGTGTTCAATAGGACTTTTACATGAGGCACTCAAACCTGTATTTGGCTTTGTGGCTTTAATAGCTGCGCACATTGATAAGTGGTTTTGTCGTGTGCCTGTCCTTGCACATGGATAAACTGAGTCAAGATGTGAATTGGCATAAGGCTTGTCTACTTGGAGCTCATGTAATTCGTCTAGTTTAATCATGTAGTACAATATGATGACTGACGGACGGATTGACTGGCAGGCTACCTGGCTGGGTGGTTGACTGACAGAGGGACTGACTGATTGGCTAACCGACTGACTGACTGACTGCCTCACTAGTGTACTGACTGGCTTGCAGGCTGACTGGCAGACTGTTTGACAGGCAAGAGAATTGTTTACTCCGATATTGTTAAGTCTTCATTCACGCTTTTCTACATGACGTTTTGATTCAATAGCCTATATGAAGTTTAAAGATGGGCAACTTAGTTGGAACAGTAGGCTTCTCTTTTTCACCACGGGGATTCTAAATTGCAAAAATTTCCGTAACCAGCGAGTTCATTTATTTGAAATTACAACGAAACGGTTGATGTTCTCGGCGACTCATCACGCAACGAATACCTTCCGCTATCCAACTTGTCGATGGTTTACTCTGGGGGTGGGGGTTAGGGGGTACTGAGAAAGAAGGCAGGTCAGCTGCCTTTCGGAGAAGTTAAGTGTGTTAACGACAATATCTTACGCCAACCTGACGTATAGATTTCGTGTACTTGAATTCTGGCCATACGAATTGTACAGTTGAGGAGCGTTTGTGTTCCTATTCGCTCTTTAGAGTAGAACGTGTCGTTAAGACCCGTAGCTGTGTGGTAAAGAGTGTTGCACCTAAAAACAATTAAGGCTTTCCATCTTGCCAGGCTATTTGAAAATTTTTGTCTTGGTGAGGTAATGCCTAAATAATTGTGTAGTGTTCGTGATCACGGTGACCGTTTTTTGGACCAGAATAACCAGCTAGAATTTTCCGGTTAGAATCGAATCCTATTCTCTTCGAAGTGGTGCTGGGAAAATTGACCAGGGTAGTGACATGGAGTTTACTTTGACTCTGCTTTATTTTCTAGTTTTAAGTTTTTTCGCTTTAGATGTATAGTATTTAATAATTTACATAAAATATCAATCTGGTAAACGTTTTCACTAGCAGATATGTTTTGTTGAAACTGTCTTTTTCAGGTAGACAATGGTTTAGTTGAAGATTGCAGTTATGGAAGAATAATTAATGATGTTTACCGGGATTGAAGGTTACAAGAAGATCTCTTGAAATACTGATTACAGGTTAGAAAGTTCTACATCTTACTGAGTCCATTGTTATATTTTACAGAAACCAATTAAGTCGTTTTGTTTGACAGTGGGATACTGTTCCATTACTTTTGATCGTTTATCATTCTCACCTCTTGAAACTGCTTGGGTAAGCAGTCTTATGGTCAGAAATCACATTTGGACTTAACAGTTTGAAAAGTTGACCCTATCGCTAATGGCAAACTAAAATTGAACTGCGTAAAGGTCCAAAATAACTGCAAGGTTTGGCATTAGTAAGCTTCTTGAAATTTTAGTATCTGCGGTTTTCGCTTCTGTCAAACCCAATTTATAAAGCACAAGCTTATTTCTGTTATTGTTATTGCTTATTTCTGTTATTCCTCAACGTGTAATTCAAGCAATTAGAAAGTCAACCACTGTATTTTTTAGTGTAAAAAAATTATTAAAATGAAATTGAATCAATCAAATTCACGTCATACAACTCTGCAGGTGATTCTCTATGGCCTAAAATTTGCCAAAATTGTTTTTCGTGCTATCAATAATTACTGAAAATTTGCTTTACAGATTTAGAATTGCTGAGCCATTTCAGAGAGCCACGTGCAAAACGCAAGTTGTAATATGCAAATTTCATGGCTAAAGCAGAATTCACGTTACCTAAGGGATATAAAAACTCTTCGTTAAGCCCTTCTCTTTTTTCTTTCCATTGCTGTTTACTTAATTTCATGAAAGAGATGCGTTCTTATTCTGATAAATTTGTACTTAACGAGTTTTTAGACTCAGACTTCAACAGTACACCGAACCTGGTTTCGTATGAAATTATATGTTTATTTTCTGTCCGTTCACATAAAAGTACAGTTTACATTTGTAATCTCGAACTTTCTACAGATAGCTGAGCGAAGCAAATGATAAAGATTGGACCTGAGAAAGCATCACCTAGGAAAGGCAGTAGAAATTCGCTGTTTGTCAGAAGAAGAAAAGCCACTACAGTAATGACATCGAGAAAAACTCATCCTACACTATGGTTTGCTCGATAGAGAAGCTATTTTGAAGACTGGCGTCTCGTGTTCCTAAGGTGATTAAATGTATCTGTTATGCAGTTTACTTCAGATTGCCAGGGGAAAAAAAAAGACTGTAAAAGGATATTATATTTCTATTGGAAAACTTGAACGTTTATTCTGATAGCCTCGACGTTATTAAGTTTTTAATTTATTTTAAAAACAAGAAGACCATAGAAAGGAAGACAGAAAGTTGGGGGTAAACGTTTTTATGGTCTTCACTTCATTTTCCTGTTTTGCAGGTTTCTTCGACCACCTAAGGCTGGATACCAAGAAACACGATCACCTTAAGCATAAGGCCAGAGACAAATAACAATCTTAGAGAGAAAGAAAAATTGGATCGACTCCAATTCAGAGAATAAAATAAAAAAATTGGGGTTTGATCCGTCCACCATCCCCCACCACACCTGCCCCTATTAAAAGGTACTTATAGGTTATCAACCTTGAAGGGAAAACGCAAACGGTTTCTTTCCACCATCTACCACCA